CACAAGGCCGCGGCGACCCACTCGAGCTACTCCTCATTCCGGCGGAGCGTAGGGACGAAAGAACAAAGCGTCCACGCGTGCGCCTTTTATACTCCTTGTCGCTTCCCGATTGGCTGGCATTTGTGGGCGACCAGCCAATCCCGTCGCTCCCTTTCTCTCCCCTTCGTAGCCAATGTAGTTTCGCGATCTTTCTCTTCGTTTTTTAATCAGCCGCGTCCATTCGCCATCCGCGTTGTGACGTTTCTTCGACCTCTTGAGGCCACTGGATTGGATGAGCCGACGCGACTCGGGAGCCAGAATTGGCCAGAAACATTATTCGAAATCCTAAAGGCTGAGGAGAAAAGCTCCAATATCGCGAGACTTCGGAGGCGGAAGAGGCGGAAGAGTCTCCTGCAAAGCGGGCCCTGATGGGACTTGTAGGCAACACGCAGCTAACGGTACCTGGCTCTGTGTAATCGCTACGCTGCCAGGACTACGAATCCCGGAGGCTCAGGAGGGGCTGACGAAGCGGCACTTCCGGCCCGGCTGCTGAGAGGGGAGCGGACGAGACGGCCGGCTGTGCGCTTTTCGGCACTGGCGGGGGAAGCGGCGGAGAGGCGCCATGCGGTGGGCAGCCGCGCGAAGGCTGCCCCCGCCGCCCCTGCTGCCCACAGGTGAGCGGGAGGGAGCGCGGGGCGGAGGCCGGAGGAGGAGGAAGAGGCCGCCCCCGGCCCAGACCATCCTCATGCCGAGCGGACGGGCTGGTGCGGGTGACTCCAGCTCCCATCAGCCCCGTCAGTGCGGCCATTGCGGCGGGGGGCGATGGGAGGTGCACAGCCCGGGGAGGGAGACCTCCCCGGCCTGTCACGGGGGTCCCTGCGGGGGAGGGAACAGCGCCTCCCGCCCTCCCGAGCTCGGACTCCCCTCCTGGACGGCGAGTCTCGCTTGGCTGGGGGTTCTGGGGTTTGTAGTCCCAGCATCTCCGGATGGGGGGGGGCACTTGCGGAAGGTCGGCTTACCCCAGTGCGCCGTCTCCCCCCCCCCAATATCTCTGTTCTACCTTTCGGCTGCTTTGCCCCTCAAGGACCAGCTTGAAAAGGAGAAGGTGGCTCTGATGCTCTTTCTTTGCCATCTGTAACCAGGTTTGGTTAGAAGACGGGCAATTATATAAACGTTATAAATAATTGAAACAGTGTTGCTGAGAGGCTGTTAGAAAGCAGCCCTTTCAGCCCTCTCTGTGTTTAACCTGGTATGTTAGAAATAAATGGCCACTCCAGAATACCATTCGTAGCCCTTCAGGTTCAGGGAAATATAAACAGATTGAACTTTGACGTGGGACACGAATATTTGCCTCCATTCGAGGTTGAACTTCGGCTGTTTTCTGAATATCTAAAACAGGATCTGTCCCAGACCCATTGTATCCCGAAGAGCTAGGGTTGCAGCAGAGAAGGCCCAGCTTTTACACAAGCAGGACCATCAACGAGGCTTCTCTGAAAGATCTCAGATTGCAGTATGGTCTGTACCAGATTGGACAGCATCGCCTTTCATTTCTTACATCTTTGTACCAGGTTCACTCCCTGCAGAATAAATAAAGGCCAGAATGACTCTAAAGGTCAGCTGAAGTAACATTCCATTAAGCAAAGTTGTTTCCTTCTCAAAGGTGAAGCAAACATTTAACACAAACACGCCAGGTAAGTTTAGGTACAAAGTTCAAGAGGTTTTCTTGCTCCTCTGCTGTTGAGATGTAAGCAGAATAGCTCTCTTCCACTCTTAGCGTATCCTGGAAGAAATGGATCCTTGAACAAGTCAACCCAGAGTTCTCTCTCCCAGGGCACAAAGGACCTGGTGTAAATTATAATGTGTCTACTTCAGACCCATTAAGCGAAGACTCAGATTAGGGATAGATTGTCTTAAAGAAAATCACTTTTTTTTTCTTTTAATGACCCTTTAATCCCTTTGTTTTGGGGTGGGGGCAACTGAGTGGAGCTGAGCATTTATTGGCCAGATGCCCTTCCTGTTGCCTATGCAGAGTTCACTGCAGATATTTTCTTTCTGCGCCCTGATAGAGAAACATCTACTGTTGCCTAGGATGGAACTCTCAACCTTCTGAGTGGGAGGTGAGCATCTTCACCTCTAGGCCACCATGCTGCTCATCTGTCTGGTCACTAAAAGTGGAAAATGACTTGATAGCATATAATTAATGTTAAAGTCTTTTTAAGTGCCAGGTGTGTGCTATCCGAATGTGGACTGCTGCTAGCTTTCAGGTGTTCTGCCAATTAAAGACATATTAAGCTTTCCATGATCTGTGGTTTGGGTACATGCACATATAAATCTAGGTGGTACAGGCATGTCCTTAAGACACAAAGATGGACATCTGAGCTAAACATTTACATTGGTGAGATGTATGCACCAATGTCAAAGATATTGCTTGTGCCATTAACAAGTTATACGTTTGGAATAAACTGCAAGAGGATAACAAGGTGCATGCACCAATAATCACTTGGGGAGAGGGGGATCAGCTTAGTGATTCAGGGAGACAGGATATTTGGGTGCTACCTTCAAGGAATGTGTGAGCAGTGGCTTGGCCTTAGTAAAGCAGTTGGGGGCCTGGGCTTTGAAGATAGATCATTGGGGAATTCAAAAGTTTAAGGCTTGGCTGGGGAGCAGAAAACATTCTGAAAGAGGGAGTCAGTGAATAAGTTCTGTGCTGTTGCCCTTTCAGCCTGGGTTTTTAACATATTAAAATATTTTTAAGGATTTGGGCAGCTTATCTTCATTGCTGGTATTTAAATCCTTTGGTCCTGGGAGTAAATATTTTGTAAAATAAATGTCAAACTTGTATTTAAGAATCTAACTTTCCATGCCCCTTCTTTTAATCCAGGAAACTCCAAGGTCATCATGGCAGTTAAATCTTTTATTTATATGTGAAAGTGGAAAGTTGTTGATTTAAGCATCATGTGTTGCTAAGATTATTTACTCCTAAGAGTCTCAAGTTGGCTCATTTTTCCTCATGGAGAATTAGTACAAGGATTAAGGCACTCATTTTACTTTTTCCACTGAAACATGCAAAAAAGCAAAGCTGAACATTTTTGGCCCACTTTTACTAATCCTTGTCCATTGAGTTCCTAGGTAGGGCATAAGGCAGGCAACCTTGGCTCTTTTATGACTCGTGGACTTCAACTCCCAGAATTCCTGAGCCAGCCATGCTGAGGGAAAAGGGAGAGGTTTCCAAGCTGAGCCATGCTAGCTCAGGAATTCTGGGAGTTGAAGTCCACAAGTCATAAAAGAGCCAAGGTTGCCTACCCCTGGCATAGGGCATGCATAAAAAGATTACATGCTCAGGTGTGGTAAAACTAATTCACCGCTCTTTGTATCTTGGTGGAATCACACGTGTGGTCTCTGTGCCTGTGTGCAGACCTTATGTAATTTCAGATGTTCTAACCTTACAGTAAGATTTCCCTACCTATCTGCACCTCCAGAGTGCTGCTTGAATTCTGAAGGGTGTGGTTCTTCTGATTTTACTCAATCCTCTTCCTGGCAGCTGTGCACAAAAGTCCTTCCCCTGCCGTTATCATTCTGTTTTCCCACCCATCCCTTACTTGCTTTTTTCATCTATCCTGTTCCTGCCTGTCTCTTGTCTATATAGTTTCAACTTCCTCATTCTCCTTCTGCATAAACGCCTCCTCCAGACATGGTTTCACTTCTTATTCCGGCAAGCCGATGCTTTCCCCAAACGTGCTGGAGAGTTAGTTCCTTGTGCAGCTTGTTCCTGTGTTACTGTGAGAGAACAGAAGCAGCTTCTCAGACCCAGGTCTCAGCTGGATACTTGTTCCAATCCACCACCCCGATCAAACCCCATGACCCTAGTAAATTAGAAAGTTAGGGAAGATTTAAAGCAAAAATTTTCTGTTGCATGAAGTTTCTACCGAGCTGTATTGGAAGTCCTCGACTTTCAACTACAATTGAGCCGGACATTTCTGTTGCTAAGTGAAACATTTGTTAAGTGAGTTTTGCCCCATTTTACGACCTTTCCACAGTGGTTAAGTGAATCACTGCAGCTATTAAGCTAGTAACACAGCTGTTAAGTGAATCTGGTTTCCCCATTGACCGCTTGTCAGACGGTCGGCAAAGGGGATCACCTGACCTTGGGAGAGTGCAACTGTCATTAAACGAGGCAGTTGCCAAGTGTCTGGATTTTGATCATGTGACCCTGGGGAAGCTGCAACGGTCTTAGGTGTGAAAAACAGTCATAACTCACTTTTCCCAGTGCCTTTGTAACTTCGGTCACTAAGTGAACTGTTGTAAGTCGAGGACTACCTGTAGTTTTTGATGTTGAAAACCATTCAGATATGCTTTCTGACCACCTCAGGAAGAGAGAGCTTTGCTTGGGCTTCTGTTCCATCAGCCTCGCTCCTTCTGTCTGACTGCATATCGCGAAAGCCACCTCAAACAAGGGGATGTATAGCCTCTCTGATGCGGTTTAATGGGACCTGGAGCTTTAGTAAGGGTTGATCTGAATTTTGTTTTTCGACACCTTAAAATAACCCCTTTAAACCCACTAAAATATGTTTAACAATTGCCCCACCTGTTCCAGGGAACGGCTCCTTTATAGCCCTCCGGCAGGGCGGATATCATAGTGAAGCCTACAGACCAAAAAAAGTGCATTTGGACATGGAAAGCAATTTTTTTGTCATCTGGTTCTGTGTCCACCTATGTCAGGGGTAGGCAACCGAAAACACTCAAAGAGCCACTTGGACACGTTTCCCACCGAAAACAAAACACTGGGAGCTGCAAAACCCTTTTGATATCTAAAATGAAGATAACACTGCATATATCCTTTTTTACCTTTATATATATATATATATAATTGAGGATTTTTTCTTCTTTCCTTCAAAAACTGCTTTCATTTTTTTGGGAAGTTATAAAAATGATGTAGGACTGGGTTGGAGGGGGGGTTGCACATGTTTTTTTGTGTGTTTCTGAATAAAACTCCTCTTTTGTTGTTACCAGAAGCAGCTTTTATGATGTTCCATTGTGGGACTAGATTATGAGTGCCAACAAGAATACCCGCTACAATCGTTTCTCCAGCAGTAACACTCCAACAGTAACACTCCCAGAAAACACAAACGGGGTAAGACAATGCAGCTTGACAGCCATCTCACCCGGCATCCTGGGGTTTTCTCCCAACTGTCCTCCTTGGCGTTCTTGTTTTCAGCCCATGAAGGATGGAATGTAAAAAGTTGTCTCTCTCTGTTGCAGACAAGAATGGAAACTACTTTTGGACCTACGTACTCCGCTGTGACCACCATCACCAAAGGTTGGGACTGAATAATTCTTGCTGTCTAATCTGTATACAATTATAAGATAGTTTACAAAATAAATACATCTTGGCTTACTGGTCTCCTCTGAAAATCCAATAATTCGTTTGTCAGCTTAAAGTTGCAGTCTGAGTTCCATAAAATTCAGATTCTCACTTCATAATCATCCAACGTACGTAGGAACCAAAAATAGCATGCTACTATGGCAAATAAGAATATCAGGCTACATGCAGAGTACTGAATAGTTCTTGGGATCATATTTAAGGATATCATTTTAATTACTAGTAGGTCCATAGAATGACAAACATGATAGATCAGTTGAAAACTAGTTGATTTCTGGTAATAGGATTAGGGGAAAACATGGCTGTGATTGACAAGTGCCGTACCTGAAAGCATGGCAGTCAAAAGATGTTGCCCAATTGTTTTCTCATGCTCTGGGTGACAGAACTAAAAACAATAGGTAGAATTGCAAAAGAAACAAATTTGAGTTAAGCATCAGAAAAAACTTCTGTTGATAAGAGCTTTGGAGTGGTGGAATGAGGTCTTTTTTCCGTATTGTGTTTAAGACTCTGCAACATTTCTAATTTTATTTCAAAAACCTGCCACAGCTGCTTTAAGATGTTGCCTGTTCCCACTCCCTGCTAGCACTGGTGAGGTTACCTAGTTTGGTAATGAAATGTCTGCAAAAAAACAATCATGCTCAGAGAACACCAAGAACCCCACAGTTCAACCCTGAGCTACAAATATTCAATTCTGAGATGGTTACATTTTAAGTGATTGTTCAGTTTATAAAAACAAGCAAACATGAAGTTTATAACATGTAAATGAAGTAAATAAAATGCATAAATAATATATTGCTATAGGGAGCAGAGGTTCAGTTAGCTATTTATCTCTTAGGACATTCATTTTAATTCCTTCCTAGCCTTGTTTTTTGATGTTTAGTGTTTTCTGACCATGGAAAATTTACTTTCGTTTTTGCTAAACCTTATTATGAAGTGATTTTTCACAGAGGTTTCACTATACAAACTTTGGGTACTTCCTGTTGTGCCCGGACACTGCTTTTTGTTGGCATAAGAATTGGTTTTTAGAAGATAAATTTAGAATATAGGCCTAAATCAATACAGGGAGGGTAGAATTATTGATGGAAAAATCCATCTCTCCATTTCAAAGCTGTTTTAAAAAATTGTTCTGTTCCATCCGCAGGAAATTTGGAGGACGTGTGGAGTTTTATTAATTTGTTTTTCTTTTATATACATATATATATGTGTTTTTCAAAGCGGCTCAGTGATTTAATGGAATCTTACAGTGCAGAATGTCTCACCTCTCTCTCCTGCTTCTCTTTTTAGCAGATGGAAGTAGTTCATACAAACAACATCGCCCGACACCCTCCTCCTCAAGTACACTCCCCTATCCCTCCCGAGACGAGGATGACGGCATGGTAGGTGCTTTGAGGAGAGCAGAGATTGCAAGGTTGGGAATGGAGTCTCTCTGCAGTTTCTCTGACTCAGTTTCAGGTCACAAATTCCAGTCTGCTCTTTTTTTTTTCTACATCTGCTGAGATTTCTCCCTTCATAGGATGTGCAATTAAATATAGGAATAAATCTATATGAAAGTTCCGTTAAAGGTTCTCAATTCTCCCAATTATTAACACTGCTTTTTGGCTTCAACTGAATGTGTTTAGCAATCACTCTGGATTGATACGGGTTAAAATACATGTTGAGTTTGAGCTACTTGAGACAACAATGGCTTATTTAGTATGGCTTCACTCCATTAATCTTTATTTGGCATTTTAAAATATTCCGCTATACCAGTGATGGCGAACCTTTTAGAGACCGAGTGCCCAAACTGCAACCCAAAACCCACTTATGTATCATTGGGTGCCGGGTGGGCATGGCCCATTGAGTGGGCGTGGCCACGGTGGTAACGGCAGACGGTGGGACTAAAAAGTTCAATCAATCAATTCCAACTTTGCAAGATCTTTTTTTTCCCGTGAGAAGTTGAAATTGATTGAACCTTTTTTTTTTTTTGCACACGGCGGCCGAGGCCTAAAGCGAAAAGGTTTTATAAAACCCAGCTGAAGGCCTAGGACTGGGGCAACGGCGCGTGTGCCCACAGAGAAGGCTCTGAGTGCCACCTGAGGCACGCGTGCCATAGGTTCGCCCCACAGCGCTATACTATCCTTGGAAATGTTGAAGAATAAATAGTTTTTCAAAATGAAAAGGAATTGATGAATAGCTAAAATTTAAGAAAGCTCTACGCTGCCTTTCAACTGCCCTCTTGGTACATAAGCTCTCGGCGTGCATACAAACAACAAAGTGATATAATGATAAGATATCAATTGGAGAAAGTAATAGGAAAGATGAGAAAGATAATAGTAATATAGCCCTTTTACGTGGGTGAATATCTTTAGGCATAAGACAGTGCTGTGGTAATGAGCAGAGTGATGGAACGAGGGAAACAACTGTTTGCCAGGGGCAGGACCTTCTGGTTGCACCCCAGCGCCAGCTAAAGACGTAACATTTTAGAGCAATTACTGGTTCATGTATTTATTTTCATTTTCACTTTGATGTGCATAGGCGTGCACATATGCACATCATATGATAGACGGGCGGTTGTAAAAATTTGATAAATAAGTAAAAATAAGTAAAAAAATAAATACTTCAATATCCCACCTGTCCATTCAAATGATATTCAAGGAAGCTAATGATTTTCTTTAAAATTAAAAAGCTAATGTGTGTATCAAAATTAATGCTCAAACTGATCACTGATAAAAGGCTTGATGAAAGAGAGGCATTTTTACAAATTGTAATGAATGTGAGAGTGTGGAGGTCAAAGGGTGCGTCATCCCTCAGCATCTAGGAGAAAGACCTCTCAGCTGGGGCCTCACCTCTGTGAGAGCCTGCCTGGAGAGTTTAGGTCAGGTATAGGCAACCTTGGCTCTTTTATGACTCACGGACTTTAACTCCCAGAATTCTTGAGCCAGCTATGCTGGCTCAGGGATTCTGGGAGTTGAAGTCCACGAGTCATAAAAGAGCCAAGGTTGCCTATCCCTGGTTTAGGTCATCACCACCGCAGGGGTGGTTCCTGCAGTATTAAACTACTGGGGGCTTTGAAGGCCAATATCAGCACCTTCAATCATGACATCTGAGCCTCTGGCAATCCCTGCAGTTCTTCAGCAAAAGAATCCAGAGAAGGTGCCTTTTGCGCCAGTTCACAGCCAGTTCCGGCCCCCCAGCACCACCTTCTGGGCACAGGCAAATAGAAAAAGGCTGGAAGCACCGCAGAGCAGAGGTTTGAAAGCCTCCACCTACCTTGAAGATCCCAAGTGGGTTCCAGGCGTTCACCAAGATAACTAGAGCAGCCTCAGTACCATGTCTTGGCCCAGAGCCCAAGTTTAAATGGCCCCCAACCTTTTGGACACCAGGGATCGGTTCCGTGGGGAGAGAGTTTCCCACGGACTGGAGGGGATGTAGTTTCGTGTGCTCCCTGAATCCCAAGGAGGGGGTTTCCCTTTTTTGCGTGGCCTGGTTTCTGGCATGCCCGGGCTGGTGCTAGTCCACTGACTGGGGATTGGGACCCCTGGCTTACAAGAATTGGTACCATCCAGATTACTTTGGAACCGCAAGGCCTTCCTCATCGCTTTGGTGATTTTGAAAGTGACCTATAATGACCCAGCACTCAAGTCAAGAGGGGACTTCAAGTAGATTTCCTGGAACTGCCTTTTGCAGTGCGTGGGTGTAAATATATCTCATCTACCAGGAAGCATTCCTGAACTATCAGGCTAGTCCTGCACTGCCTGGTTTAACTATTGTAAGAACAGCAAATCCAGAACTTAACAATAAAATGAAAAAGATGTTCAAAAGCAGGACAACGTCTGGGACCTGTTGGCATTTGTGTCGGAATGTTTTGGAACCATCCCTCCGTTGTTACGTTAATTACCAACAAGACAATGGGTCACTCCTCCTCTTTGCACAAGCAGCCTACAACAACTCAATACACAACAGCATGGGGTTCACACCATTCTGAGTGGCCAAACACATCTCTAACCAAAGTTAACTGGCAACGGTCTGGTGTGAACTCTCAGTTCTGGCTTTGCACTACTGTAATTCACCCGCCTTCTAGTCAACTATATCTTTCTCAACAAATGGAGTAAAAGATTGTTTTTACGTAGAAGCCCAAGTTGAGGCAGGCCCGACGTTTTGTGCTTGTCCTGGAATGTCCTCAGGGTGAGAAGCAGGAGAGCCTCTCTTGAGTTCATGGATGTGAGCTGCCTGCTGAGACGCCCCTCTCCCCCCCCCCCCAGCAAAGAGTCGGCATGGTCTGAATTTTCCTTTCGCTCTTCCTTTGGGATGCTGCATCCTGGAGCCACGAAGAGGCCAGGACACCGACAACTCAGTTGTCTCTTCTGTCACCGTTTAAAGTCTGTGGAGATTCTCAGTCATCCAGGTCACAAGTTGTCCCAAAGGTGTTTTTTTCAAAAGGCAACTGAACTTTTCTTGGTTTTTCCTTGAGGATGTTTTGCTTCTCATCCAAGAAGCTTCTTCAGTTCTGCCTGAATGATGGAGAATGGAAGGATTTATATTCCTTTCAAGTTATCTGCAAGGAATGATGACTGCAAGGAATATAAATCCTTCCATTCTCCACCATTCAGGCAGAACTGAAGAAGCTTCTTGGATGAGAAGCGAAACATCTTCAAGGGAGAAAGAAAGTCCAGTTGCCTTTTGAAAAAAGCACCTTCGGGACCACCATTGAAAGAATATGGCTGCCAGACCCCCCTATTTAAACTTGGCCTTTTGTGGCTGCTTCTCTAAGGTCCGACTTTACTGTTGCTCTTCTTTTCCTGGGTCAGTCCCCCGTCCGTACAGGTGCTGTAGGCCTCCCTTGGCCTGCCCTCCCTGGATGGGAACCTGAGAGGTGGCCGTTCCGCTAGCTGCTGCCTTGCTGAGCCAGTCCCAGAGAGCCTGCAGCCAGGACAAGCCGGGTGATTGGCGGGCACAGTGCCCAGCTGACTCTTCCACCCCCAAACAGGAAGCCACAGAGCAGAACCCCGACTGAATTGAATAGGAGGAAGTCTCCAGCCATCTACGCAAAGCAAATTGGCAGAAGTGTGTTTGTGTGTGTGAGAGAGAGAAAGAGAGAGAGAGGCAGAGGCAGCCTAACCACAAGTGCTCTTAGGAACAGCAAAGGCCATGAGAGCGAAGCGTGGTAGGTTTTTGGTGAAGGATCATAGCCGGGAAGCAGCATTTCTGGCCAGGAGTCTGGTTGAGCACCAGAAAGTTCCATGTTGGGAAGGTGAGATTTTTATGTATCCGCCTCAGAGGCAAAAGTCAGTCCGGAGAGCTTTTGCAACCACCTGTCAGAGATCTGTCAAGCTTTTACCGATGATTTAACGGTTAAGTGAAACGCTGGTATTGTGCAAGAGGTGAAAGGATTTCCGAAGGCTAAACTTTGCAGAGCTCTGTTAAAAGCAAAAGTAACTTCTTTGCAGGGCAGGTAAATGTGCTCTGCCTGCCACTGATGTGTCAAGGCCTCCCTCAGCTTAACCTGCTGCTTATTTCTTGTTTTGAAAAATGCAGAGCAGCTTGCAAAAGGAATGTGGTGGTCTCACTGCGTCTTTGTGTGCTGCTTGGCCCGTCACAGGGGGAACAGCCGCTTGGGACAGAACCTGGCAGAAGTGTGTTGAGAAAGGCTGCCATTAAAAAGGGCCTTCTGGAATCCCCCATAATGCTGGTTCTGAACACACAGGTTGTAAGTTGTTGATTGTGGCCGCTGTGCTCTTTTATCTTAAATAAGCTACTGACTCATCTCTCTCTCTCCCCCCCCCTCTCCTGTCCAGCCGCCGATCACCCGTCGGTCTGACTCTGCCATCTCCGTTCGCTCGTTGCACTCCGAGTCCAACATGTCCCTGCGCTCAACGTTCTCTCTCCATGAGGAAGAGGAGGAGCCAGTAGGTATTTGGGGGTCGGGGGGGCAGAGTTCCCATAATATATGTAGCAGAACAAGTATATGCAACTTTTTCTATTAACTACCAAAGTAGAAAGCTCTTTGTATTGCAGGAACTTCATTTTTCTTTTCACAAAGGAACCTTTGGTGACAATTATTAAAGCAATTAGCCTTCTGCCTCGTCCCCCCAAGCAACAGAATGAAAACATCCTAATAAAACCTTGCTGTGCATAAAGGAAAAGCCCAGAGGAGCCTAAACCCGAGGGAGATGAGGCTCCCTGATACAGCAGCTGATGATTTTCCTATCCAAGGCATCCTTGGTCCACATTAAGCCCGTGGTTTTAGCTGCCTCCCCCCCCCCCCGCAAGTATGCAGCGCCACAGCCAGAAAGGACTCTGAGGAAGGAAATCTCTGGGTCTGGAGTTGCAGCCAAATTGGTCTTGCTTTTCATGGTCCTTGCTTAGCTTATGGGTTGCTGTTGGTCTTACTGGCTGTAATCGTAGATGAAATTAAAAGGACCACATGTTTGCCCATCTCTAGTGTAAAGGAAGAGGTTGTCTGTTTCTGGCACAGTTCTTTTAACCATAAATGGTTCGCCACAACTCACAACCACTGCATAAAATCTACTCTGTCTCTGGTTTAGAATTTACTGCCCATGGCCCCTGTTCAACTTTTCTGCCTTAATCTTGATGCATGCATGCAGTTCAGTTCTGGGTGTTGTAACGCTGGGCCTTTGGAAGTTTGCAAAAATCCTTTTTGTTTTGGGGGGGAAAAAAAGCTGTATTCTGTTTAACAAAATAAAGTTCCAAAGCTCTCCTCAAAATTTGGCATAGGTGTGTGACCTACATTTATCACATTTTCCTTCCCCAGTTAACCCCTGGCTCTCCCAAATAGTAAAAGTGCCATCAAAAAAATGTTACAGGTAGTCCTTGACGAATGACCACAATTGAGCCCAAAATTTCTGTTGCTAAATGAAACATTTGTTAAGTGAGTTTTGCCTCGTTTTACAACTTTACTTGCCATAGTCGTTAATTGAATGACTGCGGTTATGTTAGTAACATGGTTGTTAAGTGACTTCCCTGTTGACTTTGCTTGCCAGAAAATCACATGTCGCTGGCACATAGCGATCGTCATAAATAGGAGTCAGTTGCCAATTTTGATCACGTGACCATGGGGATGCTGCATGGCTTTTAAGCATTAAAAATGGTCCTAGCTCACTTTTTTCCCATACCATTGTAACTTTGAACGGTCACTAAATGAACTGTTGTAAGTCGAGGTCTACCTATATTTACCCTGAGCAGAGGCTACCTTTTTGTGAGCGTGTTGTGCACATAGATTGATGACCTTGTTGGAGGGAGGGGGGTTATCCTGAGCCTGCAGCCCTGGTCCCCAGTGGTATAGGTCAGAGGTCCCCAAACTTGGCAGTTTTAAGACTTTTGAACTACAACTCCTAGAATTCCCCAGCCAGCTGTGAAGTTGGAAGTCCACAGGTCTTAAAAGCTGGCAAGTTTGGAGATCGCCCTGATGTAAATAACAGGCAGGCAGCTGTTTTGGATCCTGCAAGCAGAGATGCCCCTGCTCTCCCCCTTCCAAAGAGGATCCTTGGTCCCTCCGGTGTCGTCCCCTGCTAGCTGCTTTCATCCTGGGAGCTGCCTAGAGCCAGTGAGAAGATTTAAATAAATAAATAAAATTCTCTCCTTTTCTCTTCCCTGATTGTGAAAGAAGGAGGGAGACATTTTGGTATCTGGACTGCAAAACCCTGGACCAATTCCAACTAGATGGCAGCAGAAAGATGCAGAGGGCAGAATTCTTTCATGCCTTCTGGTTTTTTTTCTGTATTTTTGCAAATGAAAGGTTTTGCTTGGGCCCTGGAGAGTTCTGCTTACACCCCTGCCCGGCTCCAGCAAAACCCACTTAATGACCGTCTCACTCAGCAACAGAAAGTTTGGACTCAATTGTGTTTGCAAGTCAAGGACTACCTGTGATTTTGTCTTCCAAGCTCCCCGGCCTGGCAGGGCATTGCTGCATTTGAGCAAAGGGAGGCGCTCTTTCATCTTCCCCTTTGTGTTCTGGTTGGTTGCAGGAGCCTCTGGTGTTTGCCGAGCAGCCTTCTGTGAAACTCTGTTGCCAGTTGTGTTGCAGTGTGTTTAAAGATCCCGTGATCACGACTTGTGGGGTAAGGAGCCGAACCAGGCTGCAGTTTCAGTCACATGGAGAAGGCAGTTGGGATCCTGAATTGAAGCCTGTTTGGGGATAACTTGGCCATCCAGTCCAACTTCCTGCTCCGTGCAGTAATCCAAATTAATGCACCTTTGTTTGATCAGCTTTAGAACCTTCCCAGGTGAATGGAATGGAATTGGAATTGAAATTAAAATGGAATGGAATAGAATAGAATAGAATAGAATAGAACAGAACAGAACAGAATAGAATAAAATAGAATATAGAATGGAATAGAATAGAATAGAATAGAATAGAATAGAATAGAATAGAATATAGAATGGAATGGAATGGAGTGGAATGGAATAGAATAGAATAGAATAGAATATAGAATGGAATAGAATAGAATAGAATATGGAATAGAATAGAATATAGAATGGAATAGAATAGAATAGAATAGAATAGAATATAGAATGGAATAGAATAGAATAGAATAAACAGGAAATAGAATAGAATAGAAAGAATAGAATAGAAATTTTATTGTCACTTTAAATGTACACTAATCCGCATACATTAAAATGAAATTTCATTACATTCAGGTCTTTAAAAAAAAGTACCATTATGCATATACCCACATACAAATACTCGTATGACACAGAAAAGGTTAGACCGAGTAGCCTGAAATTCCCCCCCCCCCCCCCACGCACCCTTTCTGCCAGTCTCAAAGGTCAGTCCTTCCCTTTTACTCATCCCGATCCCCTGGAGGAGACGGAGGCAAGAAAGGATTTGCCTTTTCTTTGGCTGCCCTTTTCTCCCCCACTGGATCCTGTGCAGCTGTGCTTCCAACCTCTCCTTTGGTAGGAACTTCAACCCACAGCACAATGGAGGCTGCCCGTCATGGTCGTGACTCATAATGGTTGTAAAGCAGTGACTCAATCACTGTGCTCGTTAAACAGACAGCACAGTCATTAAGTAAAGTAAGGATTCACTATTGGTGCGGTTATACACAGCATTGTGTCCGACCTTCGGCCACTCTGTGGATCAGCACTCTCCATGGCCCTCTGTCCCACACCGCCTCCTTCAGATCCGCCACGGTCATCCCAGTGTCATCCTTTATAGTGTCCAGCCAGCGGGGCCTGGGGCGGCTCCGCCTTTTTCTGCTGATCACTCCCAGCATGATTGACTTTTCGAGTGAGTCAGCTCTCACGTTGTGACTACAGTGTGACAGCCTCTGTTTAGCAATCTTGGCTTCAAGTGACTATTTTTGGTGAAGTTCGCTCTAGGTCTTCTTTGTTACTTTTGCAGTCCATGGGATGTGTCATAGTCGACTCCGGCACCACAGCTCAAAAGCGTCCTCCCTTCTCCTGCCTTTTTTCAGAGTCCCAAGTTTCGCAGCCGTAAGGAGCAGTTGGAAAAATTATTGCGCTAGCTAATCTCCATTTGGTTGCGAGACAGATGTCTTTATTCTTCCAGATGTTATTCATGCCAGACATTGCACTTCTTCCAAGTCCTATACGCCTGGCTGGATATTTGTAAAAATAAAGACGGGATACAAATAAATAAGAATAAATTAATGCGGGCTGATTGCCCAGTGCCCAAAGTGCAGTCACAGGACGGGGAGACTATCATGGCTTCAAATTTGGGTCATAAATACCCTCCCAGGCAGATCCTTCGGAACTTCAAATGGTTGCCAAGCGATGAAAGCAATTTAGTCTTGTGTCCAAAATGGACTTCTGCAACCTGGAAGCTTTCCAGATGTGTGGACATCAACTCCTGGTAATGGTTCTGCTGGCTGAGCCCACACGGCCTGCTGGACCTGCTTGCTCAGGGTTCTGTGTGTTTGGAATCCGAGCCATTAACACAACGAGGGATGGTGTTGGGGCCGTCCCAATTAGATCATTTAGAAGAGAACAGCCTTTGAGTGCATCATTAGTGAAAGGAATAACTTTACTAAAGGCAAGTGGTTACTAGCCAGGTAAAAGCCAGATCTGAGGTTTGTGTGCGGAATCTGCCCAGTTACTTCCCCTCTTTTCCAGCCCCCCACCCCACGTTATCTGTTTAGTGCCTGGTGAGATTCAAACAAATTTTTTAGGTGGCAGTTCTGATTCTTGCTGGCTTCGGGGATGCTCCGCATTCCATTCCCAAGCTTGTGGCCTTGGGGTCAGCTGGCCGATGTCTCTGCAAGCATTCAGTGTAATTTCAGTCTCTGGCCTTCCCCCCTCTATGTGTTGCTTCCTCTTCTCACCTCCCCCCAGGGATTCATGGCAGTCTGGCATCAGCACGGCAGGGTGGCGATGGAGCAGGTTGGCAGCATTGACAAAGGGTTTGGACATGCATAGCATACCAACCCTCGCCATTGTGGTTTCCTAAACAGGTTAATGGCACGTGGAGAGACCCAACGGAGTCCAACCAGGCAGAACCCCCTTTCTATTGGGCAGTTCCCTCACGATTCTTCCAGCCAGTTGCTCTGACTTGTGTGTTGGGGAATGTGGGAATGGAAATTGGGAGCAGGGCCCGGCTTGCTTTCTGCTCAGCTGCGGAGAGTTTTGGCCTCTTTGGTGAGAGCGTTTTCCTGAATGGTAGAGCAGGAAAGGGAAGTGAGCAGCTGGGGAGGAATTATCCTAGAGCCCCCTCCTTCTCCTCTCCCCAGTAGAGGAGAGTAAGGCCAGCGTTGAGCAAAACTTGTAGCCGATTCAGTTTGGCAGCCCAAAGAAGGTGGAGCAGCTGGTTGTGCTCGGTTTATCCCGGAGAATCTAGGAAGGAAGGTCTGTGTCTCCTTCCCAGAGGTTCTGCTTGGCTGCCCAGACTTCACTCCTTCCAGCTGTGGCTTATGGTCACCTGGTTGTGTGGTCCTTTTAGAGAGTGAGCGTGGCTGCCTTGACTGCCACAGAAGCCCTTCCTTGTCACTAACACAAAACCCGAAAGGAAGATGTCGTGAACCAAAATCCTATCAATGATGTGGGAAAAATTCCTGAATTAATTAGGAAGAAAAAGTTCCGAATAGTATCACTTTAAGAGCTCAATAGTATCCACAGCCTCTGAGCTCACTAAATCATTGTGTATTTCTGGGAGTTGAAGTCCACGAGTCATAAAAGAGCCACGGTTGCCTACCCCTGTCCTAAACAAAATGAGGCTTTCAGTAAGATGAATGGCATCTGTCTGGAAGAAGAGATGTAATGGTCATCGGAAAGGGAAATGTGTCACCTTTTATAATCCAGAATGCAGCCATCTGATAAAAGGAAAATTTTTCAAGATCTGGTTTTGTCAGAGATATTTTCTTTCCAGATAATGAATTTATTTTTTTTAAACCTTTGCTGGGTTGCATGTGAGGAAGAATGATGCATTTTGTCTGTTTTGCTTTCTTAGAGTTGAGTTGGACATATGGAGGCTGATTGCAGGCTCCAGATTTGTCCACAAAGATCTGCAAAAAAGGAACCAATCCACCAGTTTTAGCTCCTGGAGCAAACTGGATTAAAAGAGTTGGGTCTCTAGGGAGCAGATGCAGCCTAGCAGAACCCATAGAGCAGTGGTGGCGAACCTATGGCAGGTGTGCCAGAGGCGGCATTCAGAGCCCTCTCTGTGGGCACGCGCGCTGCCACTGCCAGAAGCTTGCGCAGGTCCATTAGGCCGCCACCGCCGCCTGGAGTGGCAGCCCCACCCAGCACAAAGGCGAAGCGTCCAGCTAGCAAGATCGAGTAGAGGTGGTAGAGCACGCCCACGCCCAGCAAGACAAAGGCCACCCCGAGCAGGAAAAGCCGTATCCCCATCGGCGCCATGGCCCCCCAGTCCCAGCTAGGATTGTGTGCCTCCCCCCATCTATGCTGGGCCTCCTGCCTACCGCCCCACCCGCCAGAGACCCCCTGGATCTCCCCCAACTCTGCCCGGCCCCCACATGTCCCCCCCATGAGCAACATCGAGGTGGCCATGCCCACCCCAGCCACACCCACCCAGTCTGCCGTGACAACCGCAGCTATGCCCACCCAGTGGGCCACGCCCACCCAGTGGGCCACGCCCCCCTGAGGGCACCACAATGCTGATGCAGCCTTGGCACTTTGCAATAAATAAGTGGGTTTTGGGTTGCGGTTTGGGCACTTGGTCTCTAAAAGGTTCGCCATTACTGCCATAGAGGGTTCCCCCTGGTGGGGAAGAAAGGTGTTATGTGATACACACCCCATTTCTTACAGTCTTGTGTTCTCTTTCTTCACAGCACACATTTTGCAGGAGATGTGCCTTAACCTCTGGTAGGTAATTAAGATGTGCCTTAACCTCTGGTAGGTCCTTTTGAGCATTGTGTTTGAGATTACAGGTAGTCCTCAACTTACGACCTCAATTGAGCCCATCATTTCTGTTGTTAAGTGAAACAATTGTTAGGTGAGTTTTGCCCCATTTTACGACCTTTCTTGCCACAGTTGTTAAGTGAATCACTGCCGTTGTTAGTAACACGGTTGTTAAGTGAATCTGGCTTCCCCATGGACTTTTGTTTGACAGAAGGTCGCAAAAGGGGACCACATGACCCCAAGATACTGCAACCGTCATAAATATGAGTCAGTTGCCAAGTGTCTGAATTTTGATCACGTGATCCTGGGGAGGCTGCAAAGGTTGTAAGTGTGAAAAATGGTCACAAGTCACTTTTTTCCAATGCCATTGTAGCTTTGAATGGTCACTAAATCGTTGTAAGTCGAGAACTACCTATATTGTTGGAACGTGCAGGCTTTCTTTCTTTTTTGCTTATCTTTTGCTTCTTGGTCAAAAAGAAATTTAAAAAATGGCACCCAGGATTTCCCTGTTGATTGGACTCTGGTACTTTTTACAGCCTCTGAGAAATTTCACTCTGCTAACTACTTTTGCCAAGTGCAGCTCTGGATATTTCCTTTAGGTGACTACCACGTTCAGAGTAGTGGATTTGGGTAGACCAGGGCTGTACAACTTTGGCGAGGCAGCCGGTTGCCAGGGCAACGTTCCAAGTAGATGGGGTTTGGATTTTCCAAATTTCTGATATGCTCCCCTTGTTTCAGTGAGCCTGTTTTAATGTCTCCTCTACAATGTTTCTGTGTTTCCTGTCTCTGAAACCGTGGTTGAAAGATAGTCCAGGGGACTGCAGAAAGGTCACCTGAGAGAGGCACAGAACAATGGGTGATTTTGAGGAATGACCTCCCTAAGATAATATACATGAAGATATGTGAGTTATTTAATTGATGAAATGCATGCCAATCAATTGATAAAGTTACAAATTCACGCGTTTGAGGAAGTTATTGGTGTTTAAGCGGACAACAGCTTTACTTAGAAATTGGATTCAAATGTTCCCTTGGAGTTTGGTTAGCCGTAGTGGATCCCAGCTCGGGATGGTGCCTGAATGATCTTCACAAAGGGTTTCTCCTTGCAGAGAAGTGCCCGGTGGACAATGCCAAACTGACGGTGGTGGTCAACAACATTGCAGTGGCTGAACAAATTGGGGAGCTCTTCATTCACTGCAAGTACGGCTGCCGGTCCAGCGCGAGTGGCAAGACTTCAGCCTTTGAGGTGGACCCCCATGGGTGCCCCTTCACCATTAAACTGAGTGCCAGGAAGTAAGTTGCTGTGAAGCCTCTTCCCGTGGTCGCTGGCTTGTCTGGGAATGGCTGCTTCCTCGAATGCAGCAGGGTGGCGTCCTCCCTCCCACTGCCCCTTTCCATATTTTTGACAGTGCAGCTATGGAGAGATTTGGGAGGAGACACGACCTGGGATTAGTGCTGCGGACAGAGGGAAGGCTTTTTTTCCAAGAAATCTAAGTGTCTTGGTTCCAATAGATGAAACCATTTAAAAGAACTTCAAGGCAAAGATTTCTTCCTTAAGGGACATTTCATTTAGGAAACAAAGTATGGGCACTGACATAGGTGAACCCAAGACCAAAGTTCCCTCGCCTCTGATACAAAGTAACAAATTGCAATTCCCACCCCAAGAAAGGCTGTCATCAATCACAGTCACCAATTATACTAAAACGTGGGCTCTCCTCCCAACCTTTCAGCCCGCCAAAACGTTTTCTACCGTTGACCTTGATTCTCACACAGCTGCAATTGTTACGGCTAACTGAAACAACTCAAGCATTTCCCCCTCCCCCCCTCCATCTAAAAAATACCAAACAACATAGAAAAAACAGCAAAGGCAAAAGATAAAATGGCTGCAGTTTTTCAGTCGTCGCAGCGCTGACACTAAGCTGGAAGAGGAATGGCCAAACGTAGCCCTTTGCGTGGTTTTCAAGGGTAGAGATAGGAGGAGGAAACCCCCCCCAACTGCTCCTTTGTCTTAAAACTACCTTACATAATTGAACGACCCTCTGTAAAGCACAGCTGAAATTCAGCCATTTTGCAACTGCCTTTTGATAGCCAAAGATCAAGTTGTTGGGAAGGGCCCTAAACGGAGCTTATCCACGGATTGCTGCATGGGATGCAACAAAAGCTTGACATCTCTGTAGAGCAGTGGTTCTCAACCTTTTTAATGCCGCAACCCCAACCGGTCGTAAGTCAAGGACTAAACCGGTCGTAAGTCGAGGACTAAACCGGTCGTAAGTCGAGGACTAAACTGGTCGTAAGTCAAGGACTACCCAACCGGTCATAAGTCGAGGACTTTCCCTGCCCGGGAGCGCCGCGCATGCGTGGTTCCGCCCCCTGCGCCGGCCGAGGCATAGCTGGCAAGCGGCAGAGACGGAACAGGCCGACCACCAGCTGGCCCAGCCCAAGGGAGGTAAGGCACCCGCCGGAAAAGGGGGGAAAAATGGCGGACAAAAAAAATGGCGGACAAAAAAAATGGCGGACAGCCTTGCTTGGCGACCCCCATGAAATGGTCGATCGACCCCAAATGGGGTCCCGACCCACAGGTTGAGAACCACTGCTGTAGAGATATTTCAGTCCCTTTTGTTGCAGAGCTGGCAAAACTGCTATAAATTCTTTAGTGACTTAATTAAACCTTTCCAGCTCCGATCGTTTGTTCAGCTAAGCCACAGCTCTGTTTCCATAGCCAGAGCTCATAAGATTACAAAAGCTGGATGGTTATAGCCCAGCATCATGGAACAATAGAGTGAGGGGTGGGGGTGGGGAAGAATCACGATTCTTCCCATCTTAACCATTTTCATTTTGGTAAAAATGTGGCTTTCGCGTTTCACCCTGCCTACAAAGACATCCATTTTGTGTGAGTGCACTCCAAGGTGTTTGTAAAACCTCACCAATTCAAATATTGGTACTAGGCTTCAGGGCAACTCTGTGGAAATGGCCAGCTGCCCTCAAGTTGCCCAAAGATGGAAGTGTCCAGAGGACCTCCCTGATGCCACTCCAGAAAAATATCTGGTCCCTTTGCCAAAGAATAGTAATCCATTGAAGTTGTGTGTGTGTATGCAAGAGAGATACTCATTTTCTGACATTCCCCCTTTTATGTCTAGGGACCATGAAGGCAGCTGTGACTACCGGCCAGTGCGCTGCCCCAACAATCCCAATTGCCCTCCATTGCTCAAGATGAACCTGGAGGCACATCTGAAGGAGTGTGAGCACATCAAGTGCCCTCACTCCAAATACGGGTAAGCAGGGATCCACGATCTCCTAGGAGAGTCTTGCCTTAGAAGGGGCCCTTTTTTGCCCATCCCAAGGGTCATTCCCCAGGCCTTGCCCTGTGACCCAGTGCTGGGTCCCCGTGATGCTTGGCTCTAGGCTGTTCTGAAGTACCTAGTCTCAAGAACCCTTTGCTCCCTCAGATCAGAAGCCAGTTTTGTTGTAATAATAAATATGAGATCTATCTGTTTGTTTAATGTCCTCCATTCTATCTCTAAATGTATGCAGTTCAGCAGCTGCAGTCAATGAAAAGAAAAGCATTGTCAGGGGACTTACAAGCAAGGCAGTTCCCGAGAGCGCAAGCTCATTGAACAAGTGAAAAGGAGAGCAAAAGAGGATTTTAGCTTGGAGAGCAAAAGAGGATTTTAGCTTGGATGTCTGGCGGGGGAAGGGTGTGGGGGAGACTCCCAAGCAGCATGGTCAGTCAAGGAAGTCCAGGGTACTCTGCAAAAAATGCCCTCCTGTCTAATGAGAACCCAAACTACCCCAGTGGAAATGCAGGCTAATTGGAAAAGGGATTTGAGGAAAAAAACTAAGCACTACCAGATATCAGAAAAAAAACGAGAGTTTCTTGGATAGAACAAATAAATTTCCTTAGGAGAAAACAGAGAGAAGAATAGGAATGCCAGAGAACAGGAAGAAGGAAGAAGGAAGAAGNGAAGAAGAAGAAGAAGAAGAAGAAGAAGAAGAAGAAGAAGAAGAAGAAGAAGAAGAAGAAGAAGAAGAAGAAGAAGAAGAAGAAGAAGAAGAAGAAGAAGAAGAAGAAGAAGAAAGGAAGAAGGATCCAAAGACCCTCAGAGTTGACATTGCTTCTCAACAGTCTCATTCTATGTGACATCTATTGCTACCTGACTCAATTCCATGGAAGCAAGCAGAAATCACTCAAGCCATCACAGCTCAATGAAGCCCAATAATCAATTTTAGAAAGAAAAAGTACGTAGGATTTCTTGTTGAGAGGCCACAGTGTGTAGGCCTGAGATGACTTTCAGATGCCCATGTCCAGGATGCAACAGACAGGCTGCTCATACCCATCATTAATGGACCCTTCCTACTGATTCATATGGGAAAGAACAGCACTGCCAGGAGGGACTTTGAAGGTCTCCCGAGACTCTGAAGCCCTGGGCAGGAAGCTGAAAGAACTGAGACTGCCAGGAGGGTATTTATGAACCCTTCCAGTTGATAAGCATGCTTAAAAAGAGACAGTCTCCTCCAAGAGAGCCTATGTAAATGGGGATAATGAGGAGGCTTAGGGTTCCTTGACTACTTCATCAACCTGAAGGATCTAGGTAAGAGTTGGGCTATATCTCATCCTGACTAGGAAGGATGTTGTTAGCAGCCACATTGCTACTCTCTTCAGGAAAACCTGAAGTGCAAGGACAAAGAGGAGAGCCTCCAGGATAGAGGCAGGACGTAGAGACTGGCTGGAGTCTACAAAGATGAAGTCAAGAGGAAGTACAACTCACAGTCTCAGAAATATTTTATAGCAGTCACAGAACATTCTCGTGAAACAAACTGAATTTGAATTCCTAACAAGAATGGACAAAAACGGGCATCACTGAAACTTAGTAACCAACCATGGAGCATAGCCCTAGAAAGCTACAACTTAACTCAGAGCAAACAAAGTCAACGGAAGGGGGGAGGGTGTTATGCTATAGATTAAAAAATGCCTGTGCACAAATTCACAATTGTATCATGGAAATCCCGTTGAGACATTCTGGGTGGAAATAAAAATAGAGAGAAACTGAAGTGATATCATTGTTATTACAAGCTGCCTGGACAGGGAAAAAATATGGATGAGGATTTTTGGGTCAAATGATCAAAGCAACAATGAGAATTTTCAACAATTCTGACATGTGCTGGAAATTGTACTCTGCCAAAAGTGAGAGATAAAGTGAATCCCGAACCAATTTGCCGACAGCTTCATTTGTCAGAAAGGGAAAGAACAAGATCTAAAGATCAGATCCGCTATCCTAGACCAAGTCTTTACCAACAGAGAAGAAGTTACAGAAGAGAAGATGACTTAGAACCTTGGAAGAAAGTGACCATGTTGTCCTTGGGAGATATGTACAAAGCAGGCTGGTTAGATACACAGAGCTTCTAAAAGGTAAAAAGAGACGTGTAGAGAAACTGCAAGAGGAGCATCTAGCCCAAGAAGGATGCAAAGGACACATTTGCTAGAAACTGTATGGATTGTACCAGAAATACTGAAGCTTGGAAGAAGCTGAGGC